TTCATTGTGATTACAATTAGAATTAACTAAAATATTGTATAGTTATAACAGTCTACTTCAGCTAATCAACCTCAATTGCATATAAAAACTACATTATTAATTTTCTCCATAGACTTTATATTATTAATATCAAAATTTACATCATTTTGCATTGTGTAATCATGAAGATATTTTATATAATTGTTTTAAAAATTTTTGTCTTTAACTTTTATACTAGAATTGAAAAAGCAATTTCCACAGTACTGTTACAATGTTACATTATTCTGTACTTATTTATGTATTTACCTTTAGCAGCAAGTTTTATACTTCCATATGCATTGATGGTGCTTCTTAGCTTTGTTTTTTTTTCCAACTTGAAGAATTCTCTTTTTTAACATTTCTTGTAAGACTGATCTTGTAATAATAGACTTTTTCAGGTTTGTTTGGGTATATCGTTATGTCTCTTCAATTTTAAAGGACAGTTTTACCAAGTATTGTATTCTTGGTTGGCAGTTTTTACCTTTCTGCATTTTGAAATATTCCACTGCCTTTCAAAGTTTCTGCTGAAAAACCCAGTGACTGTCTTGGGGAAGTTCTCTTCTATGTGACATGTCCCTTTTCATTGGCTGTTCTCACAATTCTCTTTGTGTCTGAATTTTCACAATTTGATTGTAATGTCTCTCACTGTGGAATTGTTTTGTTCCTCTTATTTGGATTTCCTAAATGTAGATATTCCTTTTTTTTTCCAAATTTCAGAAGTTTTTTTTTCCATTATTTTTTTGAGTAAGTTTTTGTCTTTGTCTTTTCTTTCTTGGACATTCATAATTGTATATATTGGTTTATTCAATGGTGTCCTATAAGCCACTAAGATTTTTCTTTATTCTTTTTCACTTTTTTTTTCCTATTATGCCATTGACTGGCTTATATCAAATGACCTGTTTTCAAATCCAGTGATTCTTCTGCTTGATCTAGTATGATGTTTTGATGTAGATTGAATTTTTCTATTGAATTTTTTCATTTCAGTTACTGTTTTCTTTCAGGTCAAGAGTTCGTTTGGCTCATATGAATCTTTGCTAAAATTTCATTTTGTTCATGCATTTGTCTCCCAAGTTCATTTTGAACACTGCCAGGAAATTCATATGTTACGTGTCAGTAAAACTGGGGTCTTGGAGTTTTATCTTGTTCCTTTTGGACAGGCATGTTTTCCTAATTGTTCATTTTCCTTGTCTCTTAGTGTCAGTACCTGCACATTAGAACAAACAACCATCTTTTCCAGTCTTCATGAACAAGATTTGTATACAACAAGACCCTCAGTAGGAAGCCCTGCCAGGGACCTTTCAAACTCTCTGTATATGTGTCTTTGCTGGATTTATTTGCGTAAACTGCCAGTTAGGAGATTTGCCTGTTTCTTTTATCTTTTCTTTTTATCTTTCTTTCTTTAATTCACAATCTTTTGATGCTTCTATTTTCTGTCTGTGGTATCACTAGTTTTCTGATGCAGCAGCACACCAGGACTCCTTTGAGTTCTCAGAGGCACACAGACATCTAGATTATACCAGGTCTCATGAATGCTCTGAAAATGGTAAGACTGAAGCCAGTTCTGATATTTGGCATATGTTTCTTTCTCCTCTCTTCTTCCCAGAGATAAGCCAGACTCTGGGATTCTCAATGATTATTTTGTGCTGACCAGGAGAAGGGCTCTGGCAGATGACTGCATAGTAGTCCAACCTTTGCCTTTATTCTCAGTGGCCCGCATGCATCTAGAATATGCTGGGTCCCATCAGTGCTCTTAGACAGGTGAGATAAAGTCAGTCCCTTATACAGCCTCTGAAAATTTTGGAACATTGCATACTTGATCCAGCTCTTTCCTTCCAAAGAGAAGCTGAGATTTTGTGATTTCTTTACCCACTTTATCATACAATGAAGACAGGTTGTGATAATTACTTACATGATAGTCTAATCTGCCACCTTTTCCCCCAATGGCTAACAGGTATCTAAAAAATGTGCCAGGTCCAATCAGTGCTCCAGGAAAAACAAGATATAAGCCAGTCTCTCTGGCAGCCCCTGAAAAAGTTGGAAACTTACACATACAGTCCAATCCTTTTTCTCTTCAGGAACTGGAATTTGGTAGTTTTTAACCTTCTTCTTTTTCTGCTCTACTGAAGTTGAGAGTCTATAGCAGGTGCTTGCTTGCTCGTCCAAGCTGCCACCTTTGTTCTCAATGTCTCCTAGATTTCCACAGCATGCCAGCTTCTAACTTGCTTCAAGATAGGTGAGAAGGAACCAGTCTGTTGGGCAGAAGCCTATCCCTGGAAAATTTGGAGTGTTGTACACAAAATCCATCTCTTTCCCTCCCCATGAAGAACCTGGGATTTGGGGGTTTCAGCAGTGCACTCTGTGCTGAGCCCTGGGGAGGTACCATAAGGAGTACCTGCTTGATAGATATCTTCCGTACTGCTCTTTTTGTTCTCATCCAGGGTCCCTTCTTTTCAGGGTTCAGATTCAGGTAAGAAGTAAACCAGTCCCTTGGGAAACCCTCAAGAAAGTCAGAAAATTGGACTTGGATGTACAGATCAGACCCTTCCTTCCTCCCTGGGAAGAAGCTAAGTGCTGCAGGTTCCTAGCGCTCTTTTGGCACTGTGTTGGGAAAGGGATTATGTTGTGAGGGTTTTATGGATTTTGCTACCAGCTTCAATGTAGTTAGTTTCATGCTTCTCTCATGAGAAATCTGGTTTTTGATTTTTCACAAAGGGAGTCTATCTCTGTGTCTTTGCATCTTTGTGTCTTGGGGAGGCGAGAAGGAAAGGCCAGAACTTCCCATACCATTTCTCTGAGGTCACCTCCCAGTTTTTCTTTCTGCTTAGCTTTTTTTGCTTTCCTTCTGCCTTCTCCCTGAAGAGCTGCATTTCCTCCCAACACTGTCATGTTACTGGGCTAGTTTACCTGCCTTATTGCATCCAGCACGATCAAATCCCAGGTAGATATGTCACAGGCTCATATTTACACACATGTTTATTAATACTTACCAATCTGAATTTGGCAGTATTTACAAATATGTTTCTCTGCATCTTTTGACTCAGTAACACATTTTGGGAAATTTTCTTGAGTTACAATATATAGTTCCATTTTATAATGGTTATGTAATATTCCATTATGAAACTGTTTCATTATTTTCTTCTTTTTCCTATTGAGGGTAAGTTATCTTATTTCTACTTTTTCCCACTACAGATATTTGCACATGTTTTCAGATATTGAGGCTTTTATTTTGATGGGATAAAGTTTCTAGAGTAGAATTTCATAGCCAAAAGATTTCTCATAGTTTTAAGTTTGAATAAATGTCACATTGCTTTCCTCATATTGTAAGAATATAATTTACCCACAGAATGTGACAATGCTTACCAATCATGTCCCAGCCAGCCATGTGTGTTAAGCACCATTTAGACTTTGCCAGCTCAGTGGAGTGAAGGAATGTCTCTTTCCTAGTTCATGCTTATCTGACTATTGGCAAATTAATCTTTGGGCATATTTATTGTCCATTTGGATTAGCTTTTCTGATCATTGTTCATTTTTATTTTTTAAGTTTTTTTACATTTTCTTCTCAGAGGATTATATTTGATAGATAACCTTACTTTTCAGATTTATCAATTTTCCATTTAATATTTTAGGATACACTGAGTATATATATATATATATATATATATATATATATATATATATATATATATAGTATGTGTGTGTGTATTTATTTATTTATGGTCAATATACCTGTGTATTTCTTCATAGCATTGGAGTGTTCTGTCTTTGGTATGCTTCTAAAATGACAGAATCTATATAGTCTCATGGATTTTATTGCAAAATTTTAAATTAGATATCTTTATTTAAAGTCTTTGGTTAACTGAAATGTATTCTTTATGTGATATAAGATATAGACACATTTTTATATTATACCTCTGGATACCCATTTGTTCCTGTGCTGCTTGCTAATACAACTTTCTCCACAATGAGTTGAATCCTAATCTTCAGAACATACTAACTGTGCATATGTTCTCTTTTTGTGGCTTAATTATTCTGTACATTAGTTTGTCTAATTGTCTATACCAGTGCCACATTGACTAAATTTGGTGATTTGGTAGTATGTTTTGGTATCTGGTAAGTTTTATCTAACTGTTTTTCTTTGAATGATACATTTTGGATAGGAAGGGCAATTTTGAGACATGTATTCTTCCATGTGAAATTTGTGAAAATATATGTAATTCCGGGGAAAAACTCTTCTTGTTTTTATTTTATTTGAATTAAATTTTTTATTCTGAAACACTCTGAATAAAAATAAATTTGGTCCTTAGAACAAGAGAGATAATCCAGAGATTAAAAACCCCCTCTAAAACATAAATACATGAAACAAAAGCATCTTATAAGACAGATCATACCTCAGCTGGAGCAACTAAGTGGCAATGTGGCCTAAGGGTCTGTGAATGCTTCTGAGAGGAGGCCAACATGCCTCTTGGGACATCTGACCTATCAACTTTTTCTCAAGATAAATAGAAGCACATGTCCTACGTGAGATGTAGAACCTGTGGTCGGAGCGACCCCATTATTAGCATATTTATAGAATCAGTACAAGAAAGGAACAGTTCTTGGAGTAGGTGATCCTCAATGCCATCTTCCCATTGGGTAAGGTTATCTGGACAACTCGGGGAAGGAAAGTTGACTCATCTATTATCCCAGTTCAGCATAGGGATGGAGTGAATGTGGCTTGAGACTCTCTTATAGATGCGGAAGAAACAGGGAGGATGGAATTTTCCTAAGATTCAGACTGAGAAATAGGTTCAGTTATAACAGTGCCTTGATTTGAAGGACCTATCTCGGAAATATCATGGATTTTTGATGGGATAGCCTAATTTTTAAAGTCTGAATGTGTTAGAAGATGTATCAGAAGCTTTAAATCTTTGAAAGTAAATTGTTAATGTATTGCAAGTGCCACCACCACACCTTCCTAATATCCTCCTTTACTGTATTCACAGGGAAATGTGTCCTTCTGTTCACATCCTCAAACTGTCCCTGTGACTTTTCTGAGCTCAAGGAGTTATTTGGCTCTGCCACACCCCACTGGAGGGAACTCAATAGCTGTCACTTTCCAATTTCGAACATGGAACCGAGCAGGGCTATTGCTGAAAAGTCAGATTCTACACTGGTCAGGGGCTCTTGTCCTTGTTCTTAGTGATGGAAAACTCAAGCTGAGCCTCTGCCCACCTGGCCAGCCAGTGAGAGCCGTCATAGCAGGTGAGACATCACAGTGCCTTTGTATAGCCATCAACATCCTTACCCATAAGCCTGAGAGCAGTCATTTTTGAATGAATAAAAAAATTGAAACAATGAGATATTCATAATCTCAGTAGAACTAACTACAGATTCTATTTTCCTTTTTAAATGGGAAACTCTACGTTGCTCATGGGTGAGTCAATGTGACATAAGTCTGTTTACATGAAAGTATAATTGTTACAGAGTTTAAAATGTGACTTTTATTATCTTAATTTGAGGGTTGGCAATCAGAGGTAAACTTGAAACACTAGAAAGCATTAGCCTGATCCTAGATAGTCTTGAGAAAATGGTTGGATCTCTTTTAACTGTCTTTCACACCCACACACTCTCTGATCATCAAAATACAGACAGTCTGGGACTTAGAATAGTTTGACATAATATTTTTCAACTTTACAATGGTGCAAAACCCATATTCATTTCGTAGAAATCATGCTTTGAACTTATAATTTTGACCTCCCTTGCCAGTCAGGTATATGGCAGATGCTCTCTCAGTGCTGGCAGCAGCAGCCAGCCATGTTACCTAGGGAGTCTTGTTATCACAGAGGCCAACAACCAACAATGTGCAGTGTTCTGTGAGGCCAGTGGGTTTTTTGGATACAGGCATTTGATAAATTAAATGAGATATTCAACACTTTATTATAAAAATGGGTTTTATCTTATTTTTTTCAAGTATAAGCTAAAGTATGTTCTTAGCATGCTTAACATAGGCCAGTGTAAGTTATGATGTTTTGTAGGTTAATTAGGTTTGTTAAAAGAATTTTTGGCTGTGATATTTTCAACTTAAGATGGGTTTATTGGGAGGTAATTCCATAGTAATTTGAGGAGTGTCTATAATTTAAGTTATATTTTTTCCCCTTCTGTCAGAGCAGCTACCTTGGGTAGAGGCTACATGTTGTGGAGTAAACCTCCTATAACTTGTAGAGAATATCATCTTTGAACATTAGGGACCATTTTGCATATGAGAATTAATGATGGTTTAAACTCAGCTGGAGCTGAGAATATGTCACTCCATGAATGTTGAATATGGAAGGGATATTTTGCTTAGGGTCTGAAAAGCTGGGAGTGAAAATAAAATTTTTCTTTCTTTTTATAAACCAAAAATTATTGACCACCAGCATACTGAATTTCCTTGTGAGCTGAACTGAGAGCATTAATTCAGTTAGTGACCCGAATCCTGGTTTGTTTAACATTACAATCTGTATGCAATAGTAGCTGGAACTGTTTATATTTTTTACATGGAGATATAGGTTACCCCCATATGTATATATGTATGCACACACACACACACACACACACACACACATATTAATTGAACTTTTTTTGTTAGCCAGAACCCTTTTTCTTTTCTTTTCTTTTTCTTTTCTTTTTTTTTTTTTTTTGTGTGTGTGTGGGTGGGGTGTCAGAGACTGTGAACCCAGGGCCTTGCACATTGCCATACCACAATTTTTAAGTTAGAATCGTTACATGGAAAGACCACAAGAGTCCCCCCCCCCCATTTTGGTTTGTTCTCCTAGTTCTAGGATTATGGAATTTCTTTCAGAATTCTGTTTCAGAGTTAATTTCATCAAATATGTTTTAGCATCTTAGCAAAATCCTCTATCTTCTTGTTTACAGATGTTCTCACTTTCTAGAGCAGGATCTATGACTTTTGGGGTCATGTTAGAAACATGACCTACATAAGAGAATTATGAGTCCCCAAAACCAAGTCACTAGTGGGAGATCAAGCAGAAGGAAAAAGCTGGTTTCTAGAGCATTTTCAGGAGTTGGATTTATGTGCTCATTTGGGCAAGGAATACTAAAATATAATAATTATATGTAAGACTGAACTTCAGCAGGAAGAAAGACCACATTTTATTTGGAGATTACATGTCCACTGGGCTACAAAATGACTTCTGATTCCTGCAGGTTGATTTTTATCCTTAAAAAGCTGTGACTAGTCTGTACCTTTATAATTTATTAGATACATTAGTTAACTATGGGACCTCCCTCAGGTGATAAGATTAGACTCAAGCAGGTTTCATAGCATCCTAGAAATCAAGCATTCACTAATTTGTTGTTTTTAAGTGAATTAAACTTTGTCTCTGGGATCTTCTTATTTCTACAAGACAATTCCTAAAGATCTCAATTAATCACTCTTCCCTTCAGGGAAATGTGCATCTGCCCCCTGAAGTAACCTCTTGTCCATTAATGTCAGACTTGGTCAAGTGACACATTTTGGTAAATGGATTCTAAGTGGAAGTGACATTGACACATTGCAGTAGGAGCTTTAAGAGCCATAGCAAAACTCTGCCAAGTATTTTCTTCTCTAAGCCATGAAGAACTGCAGGCCATGCATTCATACTTGGTCTTAGGTGAAAAGATCACGTGCCACAGAATGGATGCAGATCTGCTGCTTGGAACCACAGACAGATGAACCTTAGTTTGTTAGTCACTGACACATGGGTTGTTTGCTGCCACAAAATACTCTAGTGGAAGCTAATAAAAATTGCACTGGGCAATGTCCTGGGATGCTTGCTGTTCACTGATTGATCTCCCGCATGCCAGTATGAATTTTCATCATAAAGCCTTGTAATGGAGCCAGCAGGAGATAATTCCATCATGCTCAGTTGGTTGCCAGTCCATGACTCCACCACCCTCTGTTCCATCATCTTAAAGAAGATTAGATAGTTCATTTTAGGATGCAAGAGACTGACTGCTTGAGCAAGAACTAATATTTGTATTTAAAAAATAAAACTATAGTTATAGGTGAATATACTGTAGCAAATTTGGAAAAGAGAAAATGTAAAAGTGACATAAAATGAAAACATAGTTTTCTCACCCAAATATGTAATTTTTAAGAATACTTCTGCCAGCTGCCAGATGTGGTAGCCCAGGCCTGTAATCCCAGAAGCTTGGGAGGCTGAGGAAGGAGGATTGCAATTTCAAAGCCATCCTCGGTAACTTATCAAGGCTGTAAGCACCTTAACAAGAATCTGTCTCAAAATAAAATATTTTTAAAAAAGGGCTGGGGATGTTGCTCTGTGGTTCAGTGCCCCCAGGTTCAATCTCTGGTAACAACAAAAAAGAATATATCTGCCAACTTTTTTTGCATGTTTATATAAAACTTAAACACATCCACATATACCACATACATTTTAATGTAATGCTTTTTTAGCTTTACATTTTATTTTTATGAATATCTGTGCCTAATTAGTGCCTAAATTAGTATTTTTGTGAATGTTTGATTTGTTTATTATACCTGAGCATATCATTTTGTTTAAATTGTCTACTAAGATTATAAAAATTAACAATACATGCATGTAAGAAACATTTTTAATTTGAAATCTTGGATAATATCTGTACTTCTCAATAGCTAAAGATATTATTTAACTAGATGAGACTTAACTATGCCCTGTGTTCTGTCATTGGAAATGTTTTCTCATCACAGGATAGTTCAAGGTCAGTTGTGGAAAATGTATTCCACAAAAGCCCTAGATAGAAGAAAGTACTCCTGTCTCCTGGTGTAGAATGCAGGACTGCCTGCTCTGTGTCTTTATCCCTTTTATTCTGATTTCTTTTTCTTCCCCTTCCCCCATACTTATCTGACTTAAAGAGTGATGAGAAAGTGAAAAACAGGGCTGGCAATGGGTATATAAACCATAATATTCCCAAATGAACAGAATAATTTTTGTTAGAACATAATAAGAACCAAACAAACCAGTCCGTAACCGGCCAACCAGAGACAAAGTCTCCCTCGAATCCCTAACCCAACTCAACAAGCCACTGTCCAAGCTGACATGGACAATCCCTTCCTCTTGAGCAGGCTACAGGCTTACCTAATCACCTTCTCAGGATCTCCTACCAAAGCTCAAATCATTCCTCAGCCTTTCCCTGTCTCCATTTGAGATCTCACACAGAAAAACAACCCGGGGCACTTGAGGTGGAATGTGGTGGTCTTTGACAAGCAGACTTGCCATTGTCTGCATCTACTGTTTTCAGGCACTGGTCCTGTACTGGGGTCCCTTATAACCCACTTTGTTTACCTCCAGGTGATGGATTAAATGATGGTCAGTGGCATTCTGTGTCCTTGTCTGCTAATGGGAATCATTTGAGCCTGAAGGTGGACAATGATGTATCCTCTGCTGCCCATTCCCTGCGTGGGCAGATTCATTCTGCTAATAACTATTATTGGGGGTAAGTAAAAGGCACAGGCTATATTAATCAAACCTTATTTGTGTCTTCCACATTCCAAGGTGACTGGTATTGCTAAATGAAAACTGATATTTTAGAATGATTTTTCTCTTTCAGTGATAGTCAGCTGGGAATTTTGATGGACAAAGACAATAAATTGTAGCCTAAAATGCAAGTCTACTCATTGATCTTATTTAAATGTGCACTAATGTGATTGATTTTAAATAGGACTTCCTCTTGGGAGTTGTTCTCAACTACAGCTGCACGTGGCAATCTACTGGAAAGCTTCAAAAATGCTGGTGCAGGGCTGGGGTCATGCCACAGTGGTAGAGCACTTGCCTAGCATGTGTGAGACACTGGGTTCCATTCTCAGCACCACATATAAATAAATAAAATAATAGGTCCATCAACAACTAAAAAAAACATGATGGTGCTGAGTTAACTAATCTTGTGTCCTGAGTTTTTTAAATGCCCTTCAGGTGATTTTAATGTGAAGACAATGTGGAGCATCCTTGTTGTCTATTTCTAACCCTTATCACAAGGAATTTCCCTAATCCCCAAAGGCTGTTACAACCTTTCGTTTTGATTTCATTTGTCAACATTATTACTGCATAGTTGCTTTATTCTGACTGCTGGCTCCTCCTCTCCCTGGAATGTTTCTTCAGCAACACCTGAAAGCTTGCTGGAAATGCTGACTCATTGCCCCTCACCTTCTGCATCATGATCTGCATGTGACCAAGATCCCAGGTGGTCTTCAGTACTTTAGAGTTTAAGAAGCCATCTATATGGAAGGGCACTATTACGTACAATAGAGCAAGATATTGTCTATTAATTTTTCTACTCTTGTTTAGCAATGCATTTTACCAAGACAACACCAGGACATATCCTCTGGGCTCCAGTAAATGGAGCATTTGCTTGCTGAATGGGTCTTCGATTTAGTTCATCCAGGATCCCTTCAGCCAGCAAGAGAGTGCCTCTGAGGGTAATGAATCTCTATCCCTGGGGTAGTCAAGTGAAAAATTTTTGCCACTAGATGCTTGGACCTGTCAATAGTAAGAGTTATTTCTAACCTTGGCTTAATGCCTTTCTTGATATTATTCCTGTTTTGCATTTTATAGTTGTTCCTTTCTAAAATAAGATTGGAATCATGATGGAGATAGCTTTCCAGCCCAAAAAGAAAATATAAAACCCTCTCTAAGAATTGACAATGGAAATACAAACCATGAATCCAGTTGTTTAATCTTTCAAGTTTCCTAGAGCAACCATGACTGCAAGAGGTAAAATAGTGTCAACACCCTTAAACATTGGACTGTGTACTTTTCTTGTTTGCTAAATATGGTACATTTCTGATCCTGAGAGGGTTTTACAAGATGTTTGCTATTTATGAAAGATTTTATAGCTCTGCAGAGAAACAAATTCCTTCAATACCAAAATGAGAATTTATACAAGAACTATAATTCAAAGGGTAAAAGATTCTGAAGCACTAAAAGGGATAGGAAACAAAATCCTGGCTGTATTGTTTAATGATACAAAATAAAGTACACTGGAGAAAAATGCTTTCAGATCACAGAATCATCTTTCATATTTTAACACATATTCAGAATATGCAATGCACAGAGCCATGAGCATAAGTACTTTCCATAAATATTTACACACTGATGTGATATGAATTGTTACTGGGAAATAGACCACATTCACACATTTATACAGCATTACTAATATTTCTTAAAAGCCTATAGAATGCAACATTATAGTATTTTTGAAGCTTCTCTTACTTCCTTCAAACTCATCTCCCAGGGAGTTATTATCTTGCACTTCGTAGGTTTATCATCTATGTAAGTAATTTTAAGTAGTATTTTATTTTGTGCTGGCCCACTTTTAATTTAATACATAGGGTAAGACTGTGCATTCTTCCATGACTTCCTTTTATTCTTCTTCATTACTTTCTGAGATCCAGCCATGTATATGTGAATTGGCAAACTTAATGAATTTTTACTGCTGCATGGTTTTCAATGAATATTTTATCATAGTTTAGTTATCTATTCCACTGTCTCTTTTTACTATTGATACATGTTTTGATTGTGCCCATATTTACTATTTTTTAAAAAAAATTATTAATAATTCTTGTACAGTTGCTAAGAATCATCTTACCAGTGATTTTTAAAATTTTCTTTATGTACCATATTATGGTGCTCAAATGTAGAGTTAGTTCAGTGAAGCAGAAGTGACATACTGCAGTTTAAGTGACATGTACTGGTTGTTAAGTTGCATTCATTAGAACTCACATAAGTCATGCACACAGACCTAGCTTTTGGTTCCTCCAATATATTCGACAGGACCCTAGAGATCTGGAGTTAAAACAGTCCTTTTTTGTGCATTTTCATAAAATTTTATTGTTAGACACAAAAAGTTTCTTGCTAATATAGTTTCCAATGAGAAACTATTTCCCCAAGATGAGCGAAATTACAGATTATAAACATCCTAACAGGGAGGGGAGCTTGATAACTTTTCTTCATTATGACTTAACAGTTTTTCTGTTATAATTGCAAATTGGCACTTAGTTGCAAAAATATTTTCAGAATTTGCGATCCCAGCACTTTATTCCTAAGAAATGTATAAATATAGAGTGACCTCTATATGCATGGCTATAAATAACCAGCTAATCCCCACAGTACAATTTTAGACACTAATTCAGACTTAGTCCTCTATAGATATTATGCCAATGTAAATGTATCTTTTTTTTCTGAAGAAAGAATATATAATATTTAACAAACTGAAGTACTGCTTTCATCAGGTAAAAACACACATGCAAATAAATACTCAAACATATCAGTTTGCTCATTTTTTTTAGATTAAAAAGGTATCTATTATTTGTACAACCAGGAAACCCAGTAGAGAAAATATAGGATGAATAGACATGGAGTTCTGGCTTTTAGTAGATATATTATACTCAGAACTTTAATGCATGGGTGTTCCAGGTTTGTTCTGGGGCCACTCAGCTTCATCTTGAGAGGAACTCCACCCTGACAACCCCAGAATTAGGGTTATTTTAGGCAATCACAAGAGTAGTTGGTGTCAGTGTTTCTGTTCATTTAATTCTCTTTTAATTAGTGTCCATTGGTGCCAGAATATGTTTGACACTGAACAAGGAAATTTACTTCACCCAGTTCACACACTGTCACAACAACTGGGCTAATAAAGTGTTCCTGGGTCCACTAAGTGGAAGTCAGTTAATGACATTGATTCTTCAAAGAAATCAATATCCTGTGATCTGAGACACTCTACAACCAGTTCTCTTCCCCTTTATTTCCTAATGTAAGCTTAACCCCTTATTCCAAATTATGTTATAGCTATAGTCAACCAAATTTTATGATAGTACTTCACCCTAAAAGCGTATATGTGTGCCTTGCTATTATAGTTAGGGTGACAATAAATTTATTGTCCAAACCAGGACACTTTAGAGAATGAGAGGGATGATATGAGTAATTATGAAAGGACAGCAACATAAACCAAGACCTTCTGGTGGCATGGAATTATTTGCTATGTTATCTGCTATATTTTGGTCTGGATGTCTCAGTATGCATCTTTCTTCTTGTGAGAGAGATTCACCTACTCAACAGTGTTTTAGTCAACTTTGTGTTGCTGTGACTAAAAGATCTTGCCAGAATAACTTAAAGGAGGAAAAAGTTTTATTCTGGCTCGTGGTTTCAGAGGTTCAGTCATGGTCAACTGACTCCATACCTCTGGACCCAAGTTGAGGCAGAACCTCATAGTAGAAATCCATGACAGAGGAAAGCAGCTCACAGTAGTCAGGAAACAGAGAGCTGTACTTACTAGGGACAAAATATAAACCCCAAAGTCATGCCCCCGGTGACCTACTTCCTCTAACCAACATCCTACCTGCCTACGGTTACCACCTAGTTGGTCCATATTCGTGGATGAATCCATTAATTAGATTGTAACTCTCTATCATTTCACTTATGAACATTCTTATATTGTCTCACACATGAGTGTTTGGGGCCACCTCATATCAAAACCATAACAAATAGCAGTATTTTTTATTTCTCACATTAGAACTCTGATTTAATTATCTTTTTCTCAGCCTAAGGATGTGTGTGTGTGTGTGTGTGTGTGTGTGTGTGTGTGTGTGTGTGAAGTGTTCTTCAAATAGCTGTTTCTCCATAGCATATTGTACTTTTGGTGCCTGCTATTGAGGGTGACTAAAAGTTAAAAATTCCCTGCTACAGGATCTTTGTACTATTAACTAACAGATTTTTTACCACAGAGTTGGGAATAGTAAATTATGTTCAAAGGTGCCAAACCCACCATATGTGAAACATGAGGGGACCACTCTGTAACAAAGTCTCACTCTGCTGACCTCTTTCTGGTACAGTGGCATAAAGTATCAGGTCCTCTTGTGTTCCTCACAGGAACTTAATCATGATGACGCTCCTCAATAGTGAAAGATACATTTTATTATTTGTACAGTAAGCATCCACTTCCCTATTTACACCTTTAATCTCAAATGAGGTCCCTAATGAAGAAACCTCCACCATTTTACCTTTTGTATGGGCTTGGGAGAAACCTTCTGCATGAAGAAATGGAACATTCCTGGCTTTTGCTGGCTTTGAATCTCAATTTCCCTTCCTTTTCTATTTCTCTCTCTGTTGTGACTAGTGAGCCATGTACCTAGTGGCTTGACCTTCTTCTTCTTTAAAATTCTACATTAAGAAATGTTTACTGTAATTATTGGACGTGGCTTAATTTTATTCCTAAAAGAAAAATATACCACATTATATTTTGGAATAGTTTGAAGTCTATGATCTAGATAAAAGGGAAATAAGCAGAAAAGAAATACTAGTGATTCTTTTTTATTATTTTGATTTGTTATATATGTCAACATAATACATTACAATTCATATTACACATATAAAGCACAATTTTTCATATCTCTTGTTGTACACAAAGTAGAGTCACATTCTTCTTGTCTTCTTACATGTACTTAGGGTAACGATCACCATCACATTCCACCGCCTTTCTTACCCCCATGCTCCCTCCCTTCCCTTTTCCCCTTTTCCCTATTTAGAGTTTATTTAATCCTCCCATCCATCTCCTCCCCCACCCCCAGAGCATATTATGGATCAGCATCCTTAAATCAGAGGAATCATTCAGCATTTGGTTTTGGGAGATTGGCTAATTTCACTTAGCATCATATTCTCCAGCTTCATCCATTTACCTGCAAAAGCCATGATTTTATTCTCTTTTAATGCTGAATAATGTTAGTGATTATGCAAAAATATTTGACTTAATATTGCCATTGCCTATGAAGTTCCCATCAAAATTCCAAAGATGTTCTTCATAGAAATAGAAAAAGCAGTCATGAAATTCATCTGAAAAAAATAAGAGTCCCAGAATAGCCAAAACAATCCTCAGTAAGAAAAGTAAGGCAGGAGGCACCACAATATCAGACCTTAAATTATACTTCAGAGCTACAGTAACAAAAATGACATGGTATTGGCACCAAAAGAGATATAAACATCAATGGTACAGAATAGAAGATACAGAGACAAACCCACATAAATACAGTTATCTCATACTACACAAGGACTCCATAAACATAAACTGGAGAAAAGATAGCCTCTTCAACAAATGGTGTTGGGAAAACTGGAAATCCATATGTAACAAAATGAAATTAGGTCCCTATCTCTCACCATACACAAAACTCAAAGTGGATCAAGGACCTAGGCATTATACCATAGACCTTGTGCCTTTTAGAAGAAAAAGTAGAAAAAGAAAAATTCTCCATCATGTCATCTTAGGAAGTGACTTCCTCAACAAGATTCCTAAAAGTACAAGAAGTAAAATCAAGAATCAACAAATGGGATGGAATTATATTAAAAAGCTTCTTCACAGCAAAAGAAACAATCAAGAATGTGAGGAGAGAACCTACAGAATGGGAGAAAATCTTTGCTACTTGCATCTTAGAGTTAATCTCCAGGATATATAAATAATTCAAAAAACTTAGCTCCAAAAACAAACAAGTAACCACACGAATAACCTAATAAATAAATGGGCAAATGAACTGAACTGACACTTCTCAAAAGAGGTCCAAATGGCTAACAAATATATGAAAAACTGTCCAATATCTCTAGCAATTAGATAAATACATATTAAAATTACTGACATAATCTCACTCGAGTCAAAATGTCAGTCATCAAGATTACAAATAACAATAAAAGTTGGCAAGGATGGGGGAAACAGTATACTCATAAATTGCTTGCTGGTGGCACTGCAAATTGGTGCAACCACTCTGGAAAGTAGTATGGAGATTACTCAAAAAACTTGGAATGGAACCACCATTTGACCCCAGTTAAATCATCATACTACAGTGACACAGATACATCAATGTTTATAGCAGCTCAATTCACAATAGTTAAGCTGTGGAACCAACCTAGGCATATATATACTCCACTGGTATATATACAATGGAGTATTACTCATCCATAAAGAAGAATGACTTTATGACATTAGCAAGGAAGTGAATAGATCTGGAAACTATCATGCTATGTGAAATAAGCCTGTTCCAAGAAGCTAAATGTCAGATGTTTTCTCTGATATGTGGAAGCTAACTCAAATAAGGGGAGAGGGGAAAAATAGAAATTCAAAGGAGAATGAAGGAAAGGGGATAGGGATAAGAAAAGGACAGACAGTGGAAAGAATCCAAAATATTTTTCCTTTGTCTTTACATTAATAACCATAGTCAATCCCAGCATCATGTACATCCATAAGAATGGGGAACTAATTAGAATAAGATATATTCCATGCTTGTATATTTATATCAAAATTAATTCTACTATCTGTATAACTAAAAATAAGCAATAAAGAAATGTTTCTATTACTTCTCCTAATGCTCCTAATAAGTTACTCTAAGTAGAAGACACCTCTATACTGATATATCAAGTTTCTTCCAAATGCATCCAACCCTTCAGAAATTCTTTTACAAATTAAAATAAATGCATTGAAAAAAATAAAAAATAAAATAAATGCATTGACACATAAAATAAGCATAAAGTAAGGCTCTGGAGTTTAATGAATATTTTTGATGTAACATTAAATTTGAAATATCAAAGTTTTTTTGAGGTTAATTTAAGATTACATGTTGCCTGTCAATTGTTTTAAACCAGATTCAGGTCTTGGCTTGTTTTCAATTATATTTGTCAAGATGCACAGCATTTTTGAAAGTCTCAGCCACTGTGAGAAAAGTGAAAATCAACTATGTGCATTTTATGAAAATCCTTAGGTAGAAAGCCAGCACATATTGTGCTGGAATAAGAAGAGGCTGAATTTTAATATCCTGTTCTTTGAAAATGCATCAGTGATCTGAAGACAAAAGAACAAATAGAAACGAAAGAAAAAATACCTGTGTATAGTGGTTAAAATCTTTACTTCATAAAATTATTTGCCCAATTTGATTTTAAAGATCAAATAGTGATTGCAGACAGGGTGGCTCTGCTGGGCAATGTGTTCTCAGGGTACCCACTGGGGACCGGGTCACTCCCATGGGGACTCCTAGGCCAGACCTGGCTTCTTCAGGCAGCGCCTGGCACTCTGAAAAACTCTAACAATTCTTGGTGGATGAGTTGGAGTCATCATTCAAGGCTTGCTTTATTTCTCTTGTGAGTCAGGATTCTGTCAGTGGCACCATCAGGAAGCAACTTGAACTGGTGTTGTCTAGTGTATCCATAAATTTCTGGATATCCTGAGACAGACAGGATGTTTTTTTCCCCACATAAAAGATTGCAGTTTTGTATTTTCTAGAAACTAGAGCAAGTAATCACAGAGGATGTCTCAAAACTAAAGAATGAAATGCAGCTGAAAGACACAGTGCAGAAGCCCTTCACAGAGCTAAGGCACGGACTATAGCAGGTGCTGGAGGACATCTATGTGTGACACAAAAAGCCCCCTCTTGGCTCCTTGGTCTACCTAGAGCAGGTGTCTGGCAGTATGTCTGTGCTCCAGGTACCCAAGGCACCCTGTGCGGATGTCTCTCTGTGTGAGCAAATGTTCCTCTGTGTGGACATGGCATTTTAGAAGACTGCCAAAGAATGAGTTGGTGTCAGTTTTGTTTCCACCTAAAAATTTCCCCCTATTTTTATGAACTGTTAATTACTTGAGTACTTTATAAAACGCCTATAACTTTGTGAACAAATATTATGGGGAGCCACTCCAGAAAGCACTCTAAGTTTGAATTTCAAATCAAAAGAGAGCCTTATTTACCTGACCAGGGACTGTCATGCACAGTAGAGACTCAAGCTCTGTGAGAGGAAAGCAGCTTCCTGATCTATCCAAGGAGAATATAAACACAAAAACCATAACTCAGTGGCTTGCTTATCATCATGTAAGCTAGCCAAATGCAGAAATTAAAATATTAATAAGTGGGCCTTTGGGCTCCAAGCAGTACTGGAATTTTCCAGTCAGCAAGCAAACGGTAAAAAGAATCTTAACAAAAAGCATTAGCTTTGCAGTTCAGTTGCCCACAGTCCTGGGTTCAAGCAGGTGCTAGACAGTCACATCCTGAATTTGGGCAGGGGTTGGTGGGGTGACAATCTCAAAGTCATGTAGACCCACAAGGGCATTCAAACCAAGGATGTAGCTCACCATGACCACCACTGCATCCTGAGTAGGGTACAATTTGTGGGGTACAAGGTACAGAAAAATAAATTTTTAAATAAGAAAACAGCTTTAGTTTCTATTTCCTAAAAATGGGTTCATGCAGTTCTCTCTTCATAGGAACAGTAACAAAGAAACTAAGATGGAATTTCTATAGTCACTTTTTTTTTTTTTTTTTTTTTACTCAAATGACTACAGTGACCCTATTCCCAGAATCCCAGTAAGGCGGGAATTATTGCAAGTGACTAATGAGTCTCTACTAGAGCAATTGTTTTACACAGTACTACTAACTTATTTGATGCCTACTTAAAACTATAGTTATCTTATGGCCCACACACACATTTTCACCTGTCATTTTACTAATATCTATAAACCCTATGTCTTTTATCCTATGCAAGGCTATAAGATCAAGTTGCTATGTTAATCTAACCTTATCTATATTAACCTACTTGCTTATGTTTATTTATAACTATACTGACTTATCCTCTGACATAAATCCTATGTTTTATAGTTACATGATTTTTCTACTATTACTTAGGCTTATTCCTGATGAATTTATGTCTTACTATTGCTTATCTATGTTATCTTACCTTATTCCTGTAGTCTTTATGTCTGTTACTTATTGATTATCTATTCTATCTTGCCTTATACCTGTAACCTATATCTATGACTTATTGATTATATTGGTCAGTTCACTCCATAACACCAAATGAGGGTTTGTAGCAAAGTTTAGAGTATTAGTGCTGGCAACTGGAAGTTTGCTGTGGGGCCCCAGCAAACTTCCAGCTGCCAGCATATTAGTGTGATGACATAGTATTTTTTAGTTTTTCGGCGGACATAACATCTTTGTATGTGGTGCTGAGGATCGAACCCGGGCAGCACGCATGCCAGGCGAGTGTGCTACCGCTTGAGCCACATCCCCAGCCCGACATAGTTTCTTAAGGCTTCTTGCTTGTTTCATAAAAAGTTTCCATTATTATGTGTCTTAATCTTTTTGTCTCCAGCTTTTAGTTGGTTATGTTCAGAGGGGAAAAATATCAAAGTAGTCTGAGAATCAGGGGAGGAGTTTGATTGTAGGCCTTTTTTGATAGAATAATATGTAAATTTGCTGTTTCAAGACTTTGTATCAAGAATAACAGTTATTATGGTTTAGATGTGTTGTTCCCCCAAAAGCTCATGTGTAAGACAATGCAAGAAAGTTCAGAGGAGAAATGATTGGGTTGTAAGGGTCTTAACCCAATCAGTAAATTAATCCCCTGTTAGGGATTAATTGAATGGTAACTGAAATGTTAGGGTGTGACTGGAGGAGGTGAGAATTGGGGCATGGTTGGGAGTATATATTTGTATCTGGCCAGTGGAGTCATTCTTTTTTTACTTTGTAATCATCATGTGAGCCACTTCCCTCTGTCACACTTTTCCACCATGATGTCTTAACTTAAGCCCCAAGGAATGGAGCCAGCCTTCTATGGACTAAAGCCTCTGAAACTGTGAGCCCTCAAATAAACTTTTTCTCCTCTACACTTGTTCTGGCTGGATCATTTAGTCACAGCAGTTGAAAAGCTGACTAAAACAGCAATCTAATGTAATATTTGTAAGGATTCCAGAGCATTATAGAGTGCACATTATATGGTGCACATATTCTGTAAATGGGTCACAAAAGGGTTAAAATATGCTAAGTTAGTGTCGTCATGTTATAGTAGATCCTTAATTTGATGCTTCTTTTTATTTTAGTAAATTTATGTTTTGTGTGGTGTTTACTGCTTTTGAGGGGAGCTGTATTAGGACATGATATGCTGGATGCCTTTTAGTAATGAACCAGTGTGAATAACAAAGCAGACCCTGTCTCCCTAGTGTGACAGCTGGGACACCAGTGAAGCACCAGGGGTCAAAGCTCACTCTGATTCCTATACTTTTGAGTTTTGTTTTGTTTGCTTGTGTTGTTGTTTTAATTTTTGGAGAAGAGACAGTTTACATGGAAGGAATATTCTTGCCCATGGATTTGATGCCAGGTATCTAGAGCCTTGGGATTCCTGGTGACCTGCATAGTGATCCTCAGCTATGTGACCTCCACAGAGTGCACGGAGTGTCTCCACTGGGGAAGGTACTTTGCCCTTTCATTGAAGGAAGTGTTCCTTTCTCTGTTTTATACATCTCTTATTAGACTGCATCCCTTTACCCAGTACAAAGACTCTGCTTTCTTTTGAATAGTAGGTCTGTGGGTCAGTGGCTTGGTTCATTTTGTTCTCTCCAGCCTTGAAGATTCTTCCCCAACATGCACAGACATCCACTCATGTTCCTGGTCTGGCCTGGATGCCATCTGATTCATGAAGGCTCCAAATACCCTTCCCATTTCATCCCAGGGCACAGGACTTTTTATTCCTCCCATTGTCCTTCCTTTTTTCTTCTTTATGTGTTAGTGTTTCCTATCTAATTCTGTACCCCTTGCTACATTGTATGCCCCTAGAAATTGGGAATTATTCCCTTGAAGATATAAGACCATATATTTTATATGATACTTTGTTCTCACTTCAAGTATGATACTTTTTACTCATTTTGTTCTAGTGCTTTGTGGATGACATTTGGCATGTGGACCTATAACCTATAATTTCCTTCCTAAGACCAGTTGATTCCCTCAGTTAGAACTTATAGGTTAAAGTGGGGTGAATGTAGGTTACAGTGGGGTGCGGTGGTGCATGCCTGTAATCCCAGTGGCTCCAGAGGCTGAGGCAGGAGGATCACAATTTTAAAGCCAGCCTCAGCAATTTAGCAAAGCCTTAAGCAACTCAGTGAGACCCTATCTCTAAATAAAAAGTATAGAAAAAGGGCTGGGGATGTGGCATAGTGGTTAAGTGCTCCTGGGTTCAATTCCAGGTACCCCCACCCCCCAAAAAAGTAAAGGTTAAAGCTTTCAAGTTATTTTTACTCACATTATAAGGATTTAACCTGGTCATCTTATGCTAATTGGAAGCTCTGATTGGCAGCTTTAAATTTCTTGATTAAAAATCTAAGTTTGGGGCAGTCTTTGAATGATAAAGGAGATTTTGGTAAAAAGATTGGAAACTGTTCTATTTGGTGCTTAGTGAAAATATTTTGAATTATTGTATATGCAGGTTATTGTCATTTCTTTTTAAAATATATTTTTAGTTGTAGATGGATACATTATCTTTATTGTACTTATTTACTTTTATGTGGTGCTGAGGATCTAACCCAGTGCCTCACATGTGCTAGGCAAGTACTCTGCAACACCCAGCCCTGTCATTTCCTTACATTAATTCACAAGTTACCTGTCAAATAACAAATTTTTCAATTGAAAAAGTAAACTAGTCTTAAAAATCAGGTTATAAATATCAGCATTAGAACTCTTTAATATTTAAATCATTGGAAAACATGTAGCAAAAAAAGATGATAATTAATTAATATTAACATATCTACAAAGTTTAAAAACAGTTCTGGAAATAATAAAAATGAAAAATAATTTTTTAAAGCAAAGAATAAATAAATGTTCTCCACTATTTTATTACTGTTTTCAATTATACTTCTCATAAAATTTATAATTTTTAGGGTTTACAGCAGTCTTTTTTAAATGCTGTGTAATTTTCACATTTGCATATGAAAATTAAGTATTGGATTCAATAAATGCTTTGAAATTTTATTTTTCTTTGTTCTAGATTGGGCTCCCCAGAAAGTTGACTCTGTGGGAGATTCTTACACAGGTGGCTTAGTGGGGAGAATTAATTTGGAACAACCTTTGGAAAGTTGAGAGAGCCACTGGAGGTGGATGAGGGACAAAGCTGAGCTGCAGTAATGCTGTTACAACAGAACACTCAGAAGACTTCAGGGAGACTCAGCAGCAATGCTCCTTGGGGCTGTCCCAGATGAGCCAAGGAGTTCAGGCACCGTATCTCTCCACTGCATCATTGGATGCTGGGTAGCCCCTAAGAGGGCTGTCACTGGAAGCTTGTAGGATCCCTTAAGACCCTGGGGAGGGCCCACCTCAGTCCTGAAAAGGCACTATGGGTGGAGGACTGGGCTGTATTGTGCAGTGTCCACTTTCTCAAAGAGTCACCTATTACAAAAGCTCTTTACAGGTACTGCATCCTCTTTCCTTTTCTTTTACTTCCCTCTTTTTCATTGCTTATCTTGCAGTATGCAAATCTAAAAACCTGAGACTGTTTGAGGGAAACTGAATAGAGGGTGAGAAAATACTCAAGTGCTTGCTGTCTGCGTATGGGCTGAAGGATATGCTGTGGACTCTTCTTGCTTTGATTTGGATTTCAAAGAGATGCCCTTGCTCATCATTGTTATAAGATCTTTGTCATTGTTTTAATCAGCTTTTTCACTGTTGTTACCAAAAGACCTGACAAGAACTATTTCAGAGGAGGAAAATTTTATTTTGGTTTCAGACCATTGATGACTAGCTCACTAGGTCTGGGCTGGAGGGAAGCAGCTGGGGACATGCCACCTGGAAGCAGAGAGAAACTGCCTTCACCACAGACAAAATATGCATGCCCCCTGGAAAAAATAAGCACGCCCCCTGGAACCATGTCCTCCAGCTACACCCTACCAATTTACAGTCACCATGAAGTTAATCTGTATTAGAGGATTAATACACACATTAGATTAAGACTTTTATAACCCAATCATTATACCTCTAAGCTTTCTTGCATTGTCTCACATGAGCTTCTGAGGGACACCTAATATCAAAACCATAACAGTCATCTGGAGAAATCGAGGTGTGAGATAAAACTACTATATAGGAAATGCAGTTTGTAACTTACAGAAAACTGATTAATGGTGGGGATGGCAGGACTTGTAAAATTTAATTGTTAATATTGCCCTTTATAAGTGGACTATTATAAATGCTAATTTTTCTCCTATTTGCAGTGCCATATCATTGTAAAAACGCTTGTTAATTTTTGTTCATTAGTGTTGAAAAATAATGTTGAAAGATGTTTGACTAAAGTGCCACATTCAAAAGAGATGGGAGAAGTTAGATTTATATGACCAAAATTATAAAATATTAAAATATGTGTATGTATACATGTGCAAATGTACATTAGAGTAGATATTTAACTTAATATTTAGGCAAGTTCAGCATATTTATGTAAATATTCAATTTAAAATTACTTTTCAAACATTTTAAACTTAGCCAGTATTGATATGCCTATAATTTTCTTCTGGTACTACTGTCACATGTCTTTTAGTTTATATGGTCTAGTATTATGCTACAAGTATTGTTTTCTCATGTTGCTTTACTTAAATCAAAGGTGCCATAACTATTTGCAGGATTGTACATCTTTTCTTCCTCTTGTCTTCCCGTAAGCTTGACTCTAATGATTATTTTCATGCTCTCTCTTTATTTACAGCTTTTCTTCTTGTTACCCCACTAACATCCTCTTATCTGTGACCTTTCCAGGTGGTTTAGGAAGTCTAATCCTCAGGTGTCTGTAAACAGGGAAGCAACAGTCTTTATACAATAAATACTGTGAAATAGCTTTGTTACAGTTGTTGATTTTCTCCTGTCTTTGTCTCTGTTTTCAGGCTATCCTGACAACAGCTCTGGCTCTCAATGTGAAAATCCCCTGGGAGGGTTTCAGGGCTGCCTGAAGCTTATCTCCATTGGCAGCACAGTGGTGGATTCCCATCTCAATACAGCAGGGGGCGCTGGGAAACTTCAGCGACCTTCAGATAGACTCCTGTGGCATCACAGACAGGTAGGGGCCATCCTAGATCATTATAGCACACCTGTTTCAGTTTTTTTCTTTCTTTTAATTAAAAACACAGGCACAACTGTAAAAACACACTTTTTTCATGTCTTTCATGACAGCAGGCTTACCTCTTAAAGATTCCACAACCTTCCACTGGCTAGGGATTGAGTCTTCAACACTTAGCCCTTTAGGGAATATTTAAGATCCAAACTGTAACACATTGAAAATAAGAGAACAACATCTTTGGTTTTAAACAGTTGTTCCTTTCAAACAGTGTTGTCTTGGAAGACACACTCATGGATTTTCCTTTCATATACCTGTAAATCACTTAAAGTCTTACAGAGTATTACTGATGCTTGTAATCACTGATGTGAATAAATACTGACAAGAATAGATACTCTTAAAAATTGTCCCATTACAGAATACAGATTAGACTATTCTAAAATGATAGTGGATCAGTGAGGGCCAGTAAATCAAAGTCATATGTGGTTAGCTCCCTTTTCTATAGGGAAAATGAGAAGTAAATCTTGTTTCAAGAAAGGTTGATGCTTCAGGGAATTTTAGCAATGTTGTAAACAAAATAAAGAAAGAGATTCCCCAGTTGCCCCAGAGCTAAGCACTGCAGTAGTTCAATGAAGATGATAAGAAAAGCAAAGGTTTATCACTATAGTATAATAAAATTGTTAAGCATTGTAATTTTATTCAAGTTTTCTTCTTTACCATATTATCTAACTTTTAAATCATTTTGGCTAAAAGGATAAGCTTAGCCATATAGACTATTTTTTTTTCCTGTACCAGATATACCCAGTTTAATGCCTTTTCTGAAGCAGGGTGTGCAAAAGGTTTATATTGAATACATAAACAAATTCCTTAAATCTTTCCACATCCATGCCTCTGAACCTCTTGAAATAGCTATGTAAAATACTTTGTACAAGAAGTTTATTCTAAATTTATCACTAATTGAAATTTCATGTCATAGCCAATAAACTTTAAGTCACAATTGCAATTTGGCAATGTGTTCATAAGGACCATATTTCTCCAGTATGTGAAATATTGTCTCATATTTTTTAAATGCAAATGTTTATGTTGTCATGTTCACAGTTTATTCTTTTGTAGTGAAATCAAAGAGACAAATAATTTTAGTCAGAAACCTACAATCCTGATTTTCAGAATATAGTTTTTTTGGGGATTGGGGGAGATGGCAAAGAAACTGCCATCATTCATAAGGAGTAACTGCAGCCAGCTCTGGTGCCCAAGTTTCAGTGTCAGGAGAGGATCCAGACATCAAATCATGGGGTGCTGATTTCCTTTAAGAATCCATGTCACTTACTTTATTAGTCCAAGGATTGCTACGGAGCATGGATTTTATGAAGTACATTTCCTTGTTCAACATATAAATATTCTGGCAATGATGGACAATAATTAAAAAGAGAATTAAATGAACAGAAACAACGACATCCGCTATTGTTGTGAAGACATAAAATAACACTGACATTGGTATCTTCAGGATAGAGCTCCTACCCAGGGTGACAACTGTCCAGTGGGCTAGAGGTCAAAGGTTGGAAGTCATATTTCACTGGCAGTTGCCTAAGTTATCAGTATAATTGTGGAACTCACAGGAAGTTGTTTTAGTATAGCCAGAATTACCTTACAAAGTGTGGTGAATTCTCAATATTTGTCTTATGTAAAGAATCAGAGCCAGACACGGTGATGCACACCTGTAATCCCAGTGGCTCAGGAGGCTGAGGCAGGAGGATCAAAAATTTAAAGTTAGTGAGGCTCTGAGCAACTTAGACTATGCCTCAAAAAAAAAAATTAAAAGTTGGGGCTGGGGATGTGGCTCAATGGTTAAGCATTCCTGGGTTTAATACCTGATATTATATATATATATATATATATATTTATTTATTTATGAGTATACATGAGCATATGTATAAATGTCACCAAAATGAGAATATTTTTCCATATCACACTTAAAAGTCCTTAGAAGTGTATAAGTATGTATGTACCTTTCCTTAGAGATTTCTAGAATATTAGAGAATCTTCCTTAAGTAAAAAGTGAGTTAATGGCTACTAAGTTGTTATGAAAATAGCCAAGAGTACTTTGTATGGTAATATTGTCACTAATTGTAAGTTTTTATGGTTCTGATGGTTTAATGTCTAAAAATATGCCCTCATTCTAATAAGAAAAACATTGGTTTTTCTCTTATTCTTTAGGCCATACCTATTAACTACATGTCCAATACACCATAAAAATAGATTCATTTCAAAACAGGACAAAACAAACATCCCCAACCCCAGGCTTTCACCAGCCCTCTGCACTGCACCAAAACATCTACCCAGACCACTTCTCTGCCTGCCAAGAACATTCATATTTGCTCAAATACAGTCATAATAATCAGGGGATTTTATAACATATCCATCTGGCAAAGGAATTAATAATTACTGATATATAGACTATTCCTGGCTCAAATGACAAAAAGATTATGAAAAGATGTTTGTAATCTGACAGGAATGTAATTTCCCTTCCTGAGCCAAATCAGGATGCATCTACATGGAGTGATCTGTCTTCTGGTTGTTCCAAGAGATGCTTTATGGGGAAAATGGCCACTTGCTTTGGCATGCAAGTGTGTTAACTTTGTGTTAGCTTTCCTACCCACAAAGAGGAAGAAAAATTTATTTGTGCTCATGATATTAGAGATCTTGGTCCATGGTTGGCCAGCTCTGTTGCTCTGACCCTGAGGTAAGGCAGAGCATCACGGTGGAAGATCAGGGCAGAAGAAAGCTGCTGAGCACATGCTGAGACAGAGGGAGAGAGAAGGGAAGAGTCCCAGGATAGATATTGTGCAAGGTCATGTTCCCAGTGACCTACTTCCTCCAGCTAGGTCTCACTCCATTCAGTCCATTCAGATATCAGTGGGTTAATCCAGTGATGAGAGCAGAGCCCTAATCATTGCCTAAAAGCCCCACCTCTGAACCTTGCTGTATTAGGGACCATGCTTCCTATACATGAGATTTTGGGGACATTCCATATTTGAACCATAATAGGCTTCAAGGATGATAGTAGTGGAAATGGGAAATTATATATTATACCAATTGTGTTTTGGATATTAGGATTTCAATTTCCTCTAACTCTGGTCACAGTGTTTTTTCTTATCTGTCGGTGGGACCATCATTGCCACCTCTTCCCATCTGCATGGTCTCAGGCTGAGTATTCATCTTCTCCATGCCAACTCCAATGGCACATATTGTACATTTTATTTTTAAACAAAAAATTGAAAATTACTACAAACTTAGAGTTCTTTATTAGTTTTTAAAAAATTGTGTTCCAGAACACTTTAAGGTAAAATATAATATTATTTATTCCTTTAACAATAATTTTCAAAATATTAAAAAGTGTGGAATGTACAGAGTTTGAAAATACCAGAAAGGAAAACAATGAACTGTTTTGTTTTTTCAAATTGATGGTAAAGGGGCCTGACTCTGCCCTAGTCAGGCCACCCCCATGGGTTCTGAAGTGCAATGTTTGAGCTACCAGCACCCTGAAGAAGCTGTGCCTTGATACAGCTTAGGAATTGACATACCAGGGTCCAGGGACTGCTGCTTGCTTTTGTTAATAATGTTCAATTGAGACACAGCCATACCAGTTCATTTGCATAATGTCTATATTCACTTTCTCCTAATAATTGCAGAGCTGTGTGGTTTTGGCAGAGACTATGTGGCCTACAGGCCTACAATATTTAGTATTTTTCCCTTTATAGAAAATTATGCCAATCCATTCTGTAGTAAATAGGATGAAATGAAAGTTGGTGGGGAGTGGGAGGTTCTCTGGCACTATGTGGAGAGCTGTCTCATTTCTGTTGGGTCAAGACATGCTGTTCAAGGAAAAGGAAGAGATGCCTGAATGGGGCAGAAGGTGGGTAAGTCAATTCAGTTGGAGGCAGGCAGTAGAAGTAACAGCCTTGTCCAAGTCCCCAGTGCTAGGGGGAGTCTGACCCCCGTGTGGATGGCTGGTGTAGAAGTTCTGCGTTGAGGAGATCAGTGGGTGTTGGAGATGGGGCTGCCTCTCCAGTCATGGGATACATCAGGCTAGAGGCCTGGGTGCTAACTTGAAGGCTTAAATATTCATCTGAGATGCCCTGGGAAATTGCTAAAGGACTTGAAGTTAAGAAGTCACTTGTGTGTGTGTGTATAAGCAAGACTCTGAGCACAGAGTCTTGACACATGACCTGGGTGCAGAAAACAGAGAGACAGTGTATGATTGGAGGCCAGGAAACCTGGTAAGAAGCTTCTGCAATTTCTCTCAACTGAAAAATAAGGATAAGATAAACTAAGGAACCAGAAAATATGAATGATTTACAAACTCTTTGGAGAGCAGAATCACAGGTTGACTTGCTGCAAGCCTTTGGGGTAATGGCAAGGGAACAGTCAAGGCTAATCCCACGTAGAGAGCTGGTTAAAGGCTAGTGTCATTCAGTAGAATGATGATGTGGGAGAAGCAGGATATTTGGAGGGGCAGGACCCAGAGGTTCAGCTATTAAATCTTGATATAGTGGGAGGACTACAGAAGCAAACAACCTTAAAGTTGAGAAGAGACTGAGACGTGTCACCTACAGGAGTTTTCACCTAAAAGCATAGATGTATTTTTTAGCTTATCATTTGAGAGAAGATGATCCTGCTTCTACCCAGTCATTTGCAAACAAGACCTCTCTCTGCCTATTCACGAAATGGCTCATTGGTGGTGAACTGAATTTTTCCTCTTAATTATGAGTGTCTTTTCTTCTTAGAATTTTCTGTTGTTAGAACTGAATACCACAGCATGGGTGTTTTACAAAAAAAATAGGGGTTTAGCTGAGTGTGGTGGTACATACCTGTAATTCCAGTGACTCAGGAGGCTGAGGCAGGAGGATCACAAGTTCAAGGTCAGCCTCCACAACTTAGCAAAGCCCAAGCAATTTAGCAAGACCCTGTATCAAAATTTAAAAATAAATAAATAAAATAAAAGAATAGAGGTTTATTTAGCTCACTGTTCTGGAGGCTTGGATGTCCAAGATGGGACAGTTGCATCTAGTGAGGGACTTCTTGCTGCATCAGCACATGGTGAGACAGCAAGTGTTTCACCTCTGGTCTCTCTTCCTCTTCTTATAAAGCCATTAATGCCATCATGGTGGACCCACCCTAAGGACATTGTCTAACTGTAATTACCTCCCAAAGCCTCACCTCCAGCTACTCTAACTGTAGCCAACATGTAAATTTGAGGATAAAGTTTCCAACCCATGAACTTTTGGGGGACATGTTCCAACCATAGTAGCTGCTATGAGCAAATCTATACACCGTCTCCCACTTCAAGTCCTGTAAATATATGCTGGATAATTTAACTGACTGCCAGAATCAGCTCTCCACCAGGCTAAAAACCCTGGTCTCCTAACAATTTTTGAAACATGAAAGTATAAAGAGGTATCTGAATCCTTGTTCCCCTTTTCTACATCAACTCTGGTTGACATCTTCTTGGAATCTATACATGTTTAGGCCCTTGCAGTGTTTGGAGGAGCCATGAGGTACCTTCTCATGGACTCTGACTGTTCTTGGAGCAGACTGATATTTCCTCACTGCTGTGTAAACAGTGGCAGGGTGCTGAGCACATGGCTCCCCATGAACCCCAGATCTTTGGCAGTGAACTATATTCAAGTTAGATAAGATACTCATAGATGTACCTACACACTCTCACAGATGTATTTATGCATACTCATGTGCAGGTACATTCACACAAGGGCACACACAGGCACACACTCAAGCACACTTACACACACTGGTATACTCTTACAATCGGCACACAGGCACATATAACTTGGGCACACTAACATTCCAGCATATGCATGTTCAGGCTCTCACATAGGCACACACCCAATGTGGTGGGGTACACTGACATGTTGGATTTTTCTCATTGTATCTGGTATCTGGTCCTCTCTGTGGACTCATGATCTAGCCAGGAATGTAGGGACTGGGGTTATGGGAGAAGCCCTCAGGCCTGGAGGACGCCATTAACTGCAGCCACTGAAGTAAGAGCTTCAGAGGGCCTGGTGTTGGTGGTAGAGGTAAGCAGGTTGGTCTGCCCCCCCAGCCCTGGGTATGAAGAGACATCACTGTTTTCTCCTGTGAAGTGTACCTTCCAACCCTTAACACTGAATCTGGCTTCTTTCCCTTGAAATCTGGAAGGCCTCTTGTCAGTGTTCATATGTGTCCTCTTATAAGAAATTGGGTTTCATTCTAGTGTCAGTGTCCCAAATGACAAAGCAGGATTAACTTTGACAGAGGTATCCCAAAGTTTCTACTCCTTCTACTCCTTGGAAGAAGCAGACATCAAGCCCAAGAGGAGAATTGGCAGTTTTGTAACTTTTGCAAACAGTTGAGGCTTTTGTGTTCTGTGCTCATAGTTTAAACTCCATGAGGAAATGAGTTATGGGCCTCACCTGGACCTGGAAACCATTCTTCAGAGTCACAGTCTTGTCCTTCACATTATAGACAAGGGAGTTCACTCCTTCAACCTTCTTCCTCATCCACCATTTTCAGAGTCCTGCTCAGGGATATTTCTGACCAGCCATAAAAGGTCAGGATGGTGGTATTAGAGTGAGGCACTCTGTTCCTCAGGGGAGACCCATAAAGACCAGGCCTCAGATACAGGATGCCCTCAGCCTCCCCCTTACAAGCTCCCAACACTGGGGCTGAAAAGGAATTGTCATGCCAGGTCTGGGAAGTTCACCACCACTTACCACATCTATGCTATGAAGAATGGCCACTCCACCATCCTGGCTAGCAGCACCTTGCTGGTTCTACTGTGGGTCTGCCATCTCAGGAAGCACATAAGTGTTGCAAAGCTAGAGCTGAGGGATATGGAGACCAGAGCTCCTGCCCGAAGCTGTAACTCTCTAGTTAACATCCTGGGCTTGGCATTGATACTACTTGTATAATCCATATAGAAGGAATAATGTCAGAACTATAGAGAACAGCTAAACCAGACTAGAACTAGTTCAGGTTTTTTAATGTTTGGTATGAAATGTCTGGCTTTTGGTATCTCTGCTATATTTTGTTCTGTTTCCTTCCACTGCTATGTAATTGACCTGCTGACTTTCAAGGTATGGGTATCCCATCTTCAGCATTCACTCTGTAAAGTAAGCTGAACAGGCTTTTGTATGAATCTCATAATATAAATGTGACCTTCACTGGTATAAACTGATTATCAGTGTATTCTCAACATTGATCACTTTAAGATTAACAATCTGTTTTGAACACTGTCAGAATTTACAAATAAGCATTATCCCAGTAGACTCTCAAAATCAAATACATATTTCTTTCTTAAAGTAAAAACAAATTTGCCTGTTTCCTATTTTTATTGACATTGAAGATTTTCCCTTTGTTTTTTTTTCAAGGAAAACCAAAGATTTAGAAGATAATCTGGAAGGCCTCTTGTCAGTGTTCATATGTGTCCTCTTATAAGAAATTGGGTTTCATTTCTAGGTGGGTGTGGTGGAAAGATGTGTCCCCCTTGTGTCTGTCTATGGTTGTTGCAAGCAATTTATATCCTGATTATGTATGAAATCAATCTTATGTTTTTGTAAGAAGCAAACAGTTTTTCTGATAAAAAAAACAAAGTGTTGAAAATGTATCTGTCACAAATGCATGAGAATCTACTGCACTTACGAACTTGTGGTTGTGTCAAGTGACCTTGAGGACAAACTCCAGTCTTTGGTCCTGTTGAAAGGTTTCCGTTGACTATTGTCCTTCATCTTTCCCTGTACATGCACATTTTATTATGACTGAATGTGGGAAACAGCAGTGTGTCTGTCTGTCCTTCTTTAGGTGTTTGCCCAGCTATTGTGAACACGGGGGTGAATGTTCCCAGTCCTGGGACACCTTCTCCTGCGACTGCACTCACACTGGCTATGTGGGAGCCACCTGCCATTCCTGTAAGCCACACAACCCACTGGCTCTCCTTTCTGTTCTTATATCCCATTCATCCTTTTGTGCATATGTGTTTGTGTCCATGCACCCATGTACCAGAAAACAGGAAGCAATAGTCTTTTACAGACTTGTTTTTAGCTGCTTTATTTTTGATCAATTTTATTTCCCATTGATGTCAAAGTAGCTTTAAAAATTCATAGTATCAAATAGAAGAACACAGAGAGCAAAAAGGAAAAGAATCAGCAAAGGGAAAATAAGTGTAGTAAAATAAAATATAGCAGGAGGTTAAAAATAAATAAACTGCACCCAGAACACACAATGTGAGCTGGGTGTGGTGGGACATGCCTATAATCCCAGTGGCTCAGGAGCAGAAATAGGAGGATTGTGAGTTCAAAGCCATCCTCATCAACAGCAAGGTGCTAAGCAACTTAGTGAGACCCTGTCTCTAAATAAAAAACAAAATAAAGCTGGGTATGTGGCTCAGTGGTTGAGTGCCCCTGCATTAAATCTCTGGAACAAAGAAAAAGAAAAAGAAAAATGAAAAACAAACAATGTGATATCTTGTTCTGTTCCTTGATCTGGGTACACATATACTTCTCAGTTCTCAGTTCTTTCTTGTCTTCTAAAGAAAATGTGTGGCCAGGATGTCAATATAAAATTGAATGAGGAACACCTCAGAAGTACCAGACGAGGAGTAAATGTGGCAGTAGTTCTAGAAAATGAAGAGAAAATAGTAAACTTTCAGGTCCCACCCAGTCTTGCTGTTGTTTGATAGTGAAGGAGATGGAAAGAATTAATATCTGCAGAATTTATCAAATGCATGCACAGTTTTAGTCCTCTGCATGTTTTTATTCCTTGAATACTCAAAACAACCATAGGAGATAAGAGTTATTATCACCTACACTTAGCACTTGGGGGAGGAAGGAGGCTGAGGAGATTGACAGCAGACTTATAGCTCTAAGACTGGAGCCAGGACTGTCAAATACCACTCATCTCCTTCCTCAAGAATTATTCTCTGTCACACAGATATAAACACAGATTATTTGGTCACAGTCACAGAGTTAACACTGAGATGGTCCCTTTTACTTACAGCTTACTTAGTTTTCAAGCTAATAAAATCTTATTGACCACTAATCATTAGTTTCTAGAAGCATATGACAGAGCCCATGAAATACTCATGTTTTTTCTAATTATTAGCTTTTGCTTCTATTTGTTTTAGATTTGTTTGTTTGCTGGTTGGTTGGTTGGTGTTTTAATTTGTGTGTCACTCCTGATACTTGGGGTCCTGTCTCCATAGTACTTCCCCTCTCCCTTGGTCTTTAGAGGAGGAGTATGACATTTCATGTCTGCTTCCTTCAGTCCCTCCTGATAGGGGGATACTAGCATTGTATCATTAAAAAAAAAACCCTTCCATGGTCCTGGTGCAGTAGTGTACACATGTGTAAAGCTGATGCAGGAACATTGCCAGTCCAAGGCCAGCCTTGGCAACTTAACAAGACTCTCAGCAACCTACTGAGATCCTGTCTCAAAATAAAGACTACAAAGGACTGGGGATATAGCATAGTGGTAGAACACTTTCCTAGAATGTGCAAGGCCCTGGATTTAATACCCAGGACTGAGTGGGGATAAGAAAAAAAACAACTATTCCTTGTGAATTAATTTTATTCCGGTACAAACTATGAGGTGCATAATGCAGAGAATGGATTGTCATAAATCTAACTTTGCAGGAACTGAATCTCAGGGAACTAGTGTGGATTTGGAATGAGACCCCTGGGTCTCCAGATGTGGGATTTCCACAGAGAAGCAAAAGAAGATGACTCCTCCCCCCTCTATATCCAGTGATCAGTTCCACTCGCATCTTCACTGAGTTTTACATTGGTAGGTAAGAATTTGCTAAGGAATGTCTCCTTTGAAAGGAGTTAGACATCTAACCTTGGGCTAGGGATTTGGTCACAGTCACAGAGTTAACACTGAGATGGTCTCTTTTACTTACAGCTCCCTCATCACATTAGAAAAGTGTCTTAGACAAAGCAGATACCAACTAAATGTGTTTGTTATCAGTAGCTGAGATCTAAACATAATTCTAAGTAACACTGAGAAGAGAAACTTTATTGATAAATGTAAAGGGTCTTCTCCCTGTGGCACATGATTTAGTTTGTTAATGAATTGATTTTATTGTGATTCTCTAAGGATATATCAAAAGAAAGTTGGATATTGCCAAATCAAAACCAAGTGATCATAAAGCCACTATTTTTATGTGGGATAGAGGACAGGGATGGGGGTTCTAAGTTTAAAATTATTGCATATTTACATTCCCGTTTATATTATTTTGTTTCCTAATTATTCTTCCTCTTTTTGTTCTTCTAGGCAATTTGATATGTGTATGTATCACTGTGAGCTGTGTTCCTAGGTGGTTATTGGCATGTTTGTTTATTTATGGAAACGTGAATATTAGTGGCCCAAAGCCAAGAATGTTGAGAAAACAATTTATATTGTTTATATTTCCATCAGTTGGAGATGGTAATAGTTGGACTCTTGATTTGGTGGCCTCTGATTTAGACCCTTGACCATATTTAACAAAGAACATTTTCTTTTATAGTATCCTTGAACTAAGCAGACATTTCTTTTGCTTTTTATTTTATTTTTATTTTATTTTTTATTGTTGGTTGTTCAAAACATTACATAGTTCTTGATATATCATATTTCACACTTTGATTCAAGTGGGTTATGAACTCCCATTTTTACCCCGTATACAGATTGCAGAATCACATCATTTACATATCCATTGATTTACATGTTGCCATACTAGTGTCTGTTGTATTCTGCTGCCTTTCCTATCCTCTACTATCCCCCCTCCCCTCCCCTCCCCTCCCCTCTTCTCTCTCTACCCCTCTACTGTCATTCATTTCTCCCCCTTGTATTATTTTTCCCTTTCCCCTCACTTCCTCTTGTATGTAATTTTGTATAACCCTGAGGGTCTCCTTCCATTCCATGCAATTTCCCTTCTCTCTCCCTTTCCCTCCTACCTCTCATCCCTGTTTAATGTTAATCGTCTTCTCATGCTCTTCGTCCCTACTCTGTACTTTTTATTCTGTGAGATGAGAGAAAAATAACTTTTATTCTCCTCCCTGGGTCATTCTTAACTATTTGAAATGGGGGGAATATATATATATATATATATATATATATATATATATATATATATATATATATATATATATATGTGTGTGCATGTGTGTTACATAATGTATATAGGTTATATATCAGTACATATATAAAATATACACACATAATATATATAAACACATGTGTGTGTGTGTGTGTGTGTGTGTGTGTAGAGAGAGAGAGAGAAAGGGCCATCGCTGTGGAAAGGCCTAAGTTTATATCCTATTAGTATGTCTTGTCTTGTGTCCCTTGCTGAACCACTGCCCAAGTCTGTCTTTGTGGACACTTCGTCTGATGCTTTTGCATTTCTTTCCTAGCAGTTGTAACCTGCATTTGAGGTTTTCCAAAGGGTTTCCTGACAAGGCAATGTGTGACCCACACTAGGTTGACTACTCATTAAAAATTGCTAAATATCAATTAGGTTCACCATCTGCAGATTTTAATCTCTTGCCTTGTACATAGCAAAGCATTTGTGTACAAATTAAGAAGTCAGTCATGAATTAGAATAAAGCAAAATTTTAAAAAGTCATGTCAATATTTTGATTTTTTAAATTTCAATTTGCAAAGCATTTAAGGAAGTGTCTTTTTGGAATGAATTTAAAATGGCATTAAAAGTTGCTGATATGTAAAATTCAACTCATTGGAAAAATGTGTTTTAAATATGAATTGTTTTAAGTGAACAAAAGATGTAATTACTGAGTAAAGTTTTTTTTAAAAAAAAATCAATGATTATTAGATAATAACAACATTTAGGCAGGTGTACTTGAGATGCTTAAAAATATTATGAGGTAGAACTTGTACTAGACGAGAAGTCTGGTTTGCTTGATTTTGAAAATAAGAATGTGTAGGATTCTGATTCACAGTAGTATCTCCAAATCTTTCACTCTGTGCTTCTGAATCTTTCTGCTGCCTGATTGAGATGGAAGAACACCCTCCTAGAGAAGATGTGACCAAAGGCAATGGCAGGATGAATGTCATGGGAGAAAAGTCCCATGCCATGAGCAGCAGAGAGGAGCCCATTCCCTCACAGCCCCTCTGTGATACTGTATCTTCTTTGCAGCTCTGTATGAGTGATCATGTGAAGCTTACAAGCACAGAGGAAACTCTTCAGGCTTCTACTTCATAGACTCAGATGGAAGTGGCCCTCTGGGACCAGCTCTTGTGTACTGGAACATGACAGGTATGTTAAGCTTTTCTGTAATAGTTAAATTCCTATGTGTGTTTGCTGTGTACAAAACCAAAATGAAGAAAGTCAAGCATTTAACTTGCTTATTTAAGTTGACATGCTTATTTAGATGTGCATTGTGATTGTAATGTGATGGCCAAAAAGTGTTAAAAAATGTTATAAAGCAGTTAAAAGGTGGTGATTAAGAGTTGTGTCATTATTTTCTGGAAATGTTCTTTCCTTGTGAAATAATTACCACTAAGTCTTTTGCTTTTAGTCTAAAGCAAAAGGATGATTTTTTTTTACATCCATAAATGTCAAAAACTTCAGAGAATGTTCACTCTCTTTTTTCATGGTGATGTAGATGGAGCTTGTGGCCTCACACCTGCTAGGCAAATGCTTTACAGCTGAGCTTCATTCCCAGTCCACTATTCTCTTTCTAAATTTATGAAAAAGTGCTCTTTGCTGTCTTTGAATCTTTCTAAAATATATATTTTTATCCTGGATTTATTGAGGTATAATTGACAAATATATATATATATATATATATATATTATATATATATATATATATTATATATTTAAAGTATACAACCAGATGTTTTGAAATATGTATACATGTTGAAATGCTTGCCTTCATTAAGCCAGTTAGCATAGTCATCACCTATGCCATTTATAGTTCTTTCTTTTTTTTCTCTTCTTTGGTGAGACATTTGAGATCTACTGTCTTAGTAAATAATGAGTACAGTGTGGTTATAATCACACTGTACATTACATTATCCAGGCTTATTCATCCTTCATATCTGAAACTTTGCACTCTTTGACGAACATATCTCTATTTCCCTCTTGCCCATCCCCAGAAACCACCATTCTACTCTGTACTTTTAAGGTGCCTTGTTTAGGGGCTGGGGATGTGGCTCAAGCGGTAATGCGATTGGCATGCACGGGGCGCTGGGTTTGATCCTCAGCACCACATAAAATAAGATAAAGATGTTGTGTCCACCAAAAACTGAAAAATAAATATAAAAAAAGAGTGCTTTGTTTAGATCCACATAATCACATGAATTTTTCTGGAAAAAAATGATGTTTCTAAACATACGTACTTCATGTAACCATGTATTCATATGCAACAATGTGTGAAGGAATACCTTCTTTACCTAGAAAATCAGTTTTAAAATAATTGTGGTAGATAACAATAAATACATATTGTACATAAATCCTTGACTCTTTCTATGTGACATATGCTCCTGCAAGTATAGGAGCTCAAAAAATCAAGTCTAGTGGATGATAACTACCCTAACTTAATTGGTGTGAGCCATGGCCTCTCTGAACATACAGCACTGTCCATTCCTTTGTAACTGTGTCTGTGCATAAGCTTTCCTTCTCAACATCATTTCACCAACCAAAAGGGGCAGCCCTCCTTTGGAGAACTGTTTCTGTATTACCCTAATGGTATAGAAACAGGTACTTCAATCTCTGCATAACTTGACCCTACACATCTGAAATAATGTTCAGAAAAAAATCAACTCTAGATGATACTAAGGTAATTATGACTTAGCTATAATTTGGTATCCCTGTTATTACTACTATATACTGTCTTGATAAAGTTGTAACTTCCACAAGGAAGGAATTATCCATGGGTTAATTTATGAAGGTTTCAAATAGCTTAAAAAATCCTGATGTAGTTTTTATACCTACTACCTCTTCATGGGTAAAACAAAGTCTGAACATTTTGGCAGTGACTAATCATACAATGCAATTAGCATTAAGATGAAATATATATATATATATTATATATATATATATATATATATATATATATATATATATATATATATTCCTTTTTGAGTGTGTACCAGTCAAGTGTGAGAGCTCTCAAGGCATTGCTATGAATGTGCCTTTAGCTGTTTTAGAATTTGGGGCAAGCATTTTATCATCAATACTGACAGAAACATTGCAGTGTGATTGCAGAGAGAAATGCACTGGCTTAATTTTGCCAAAAGATGAGTGATCAATAAAATATGTGGGAAAACAGCCAAGGAGATCTTCCTAGATATTGTCAGTGCCAGAGATGATACCAGGCTTTCAAGTTATTCAGGGTCTTAATTGTTTTGCTTTCATTACTGCGGATCAGGCAGGAACAAATAAGTTTTTAAAAGATAGTGGCATCCCAATTATACATTTCTCTTTTATTAGTTAGGAGTTTAATTATCACTGACGTCTAGGGCATGCTAAAGATTTTCATAATTTTGTGTTAACCCTGTTCACAGGATCCATATCTATTGAAAAATCCCAAGATCCATCTATTGAAAAAACCCAAAATCCATAGAAAAGTATAGAAAATCCCAAGGACATTCCATGATCAGTAAGGTTTTGGTGTCTGTATCTGCTTTGCTAACAAACTGTTAACAGGTGCTACAGTTTGGGTCTTGAATGTCCCCAAGGGACTATGTATGGAAGGCTTGGTTTCCATACTGGCACAATTGGGAGTTGGAAGAACATTACGGAAGTGGTCCTTAGAGAAGATCTTCATGTCTCTGGAGACGTACTCTTGAAGAAGCTTGTGGGACCTTTGTCTCTTCTTCTTCCTCCTTTGATTCCTAGCTTGATGACAGCAATGTGCTCTTCCAGGCACTCCACAGCATTGCCATCTGGCACACCCACCAGGGACCCAAAGCATGGGGTTCTCCTGATGTTAAACTGGAAACCCCTAAACTGTGAGCCCAAGTGGGCCTTACTCTTTATACGTTAATTATCTCAGGTGTTTTGTTGTGGTGACAGAAAGATGACTAACACAGCAGACTTGGTAAGGCTAAGGTAGGTCACCTTTATAAAGAAAGACGTTTGCTGTCACAGGGAAGACTTGGAAATTGATTTTTTGACTGTCCACAGTTTGATTGTAGTGAACAGAAAGTGTTTTAATCATCATAGGTGAACATGTGGTTCAGGCCATGACAAGATAGTTGTACAAATATATAAAGTCCCTTTGGATATACCACTGGTTCAAAAGCATTTTGTTTTAATGCTTAATCATATGGAATGATACTAACTTGATTTTATTCTTTGTAATTGCTGTTACCCTTCTAAGACTGAAACTTAACAACATCTTCCAGAAAGCAGAGGTACTTATAGTCTAAATGGTAAGACATGAAAAAAAAAAAAAAGTAGATGCTCAGTTTTTGATATCGGTTAACTTGGGCCAATATGTGACATAGTGATATAACTAATGTAAGCTTAGTTTTGTTGCCATAAATTTAATAAAGGACCTCTGCCTATGGGAGAGAAAATGCAAAATCAGCTTGCTAATACTCTGGTCAATTCATACCCAGGGTCAAGGACTTGAAAATTATGTGTTGAGAATATCATTTCCTTCCCCAGGGTGACCAGAAGAAACATCTTTGAAAAGATACAATACTGAGGAGTTGCAATAAAGTGTCTAATAACATTTGACAACAAGGTACTGCTATAAATACAGCTGGGAGTGAAGCATAATAACATCCCAGCACTGTGGAGTGCACATTTTTGGGTGGGGAACCAGACATTAGCATAGTCAGTGAGTCACGTGTGCAGTGCAACATAGGGCAGCAGGTCCCCTGAAGTAAAATAAAGCGAGAAAAGGGGATTTTGACTGTTGACAGGTGAATTATAAATTTGGATAGAGGGATTAAGAAAGCACTCATTTAGAAAGTTCCTCAAGTTCATTGAAAAAATCCAGCTCTGAGAAAAACAGAGAAAAAGTCTTTAGTAAGAGGGAATTAACAAGTACAAAGGCCCTGGAAACGGAGGGTACCTGCAGTGTTTGGAAGGCTATGATAGAATGGGGGCGGAAGGTGCATATTCTAGGACAATTCAGTCCTAGTGTATGAGAACTGGCTCCAAGGTGTCCTGAGACCAGAGAAAGAGGTGAGGCCAACAGATCCAGGATTGGAGGGTGCAATAAATTGGAGAACTTACAGAAGCGTGATCCTGGGTGGCAGCAAGACCAATTAAGATAAAAGTGACTTCATCAAAGCCAAATTGTACCTGGCTTATCTTAAGCTAGGAATCAGGCACACTCCTGGTGCCAGGGCTTAGTTAGAAAGTTCTAAATGCAATTAAAATGTTTCTATTTGTAGCATCCTCGGTTAACTATACAGGAAAACCCAACTGGGTTAACCTGACACAGTCATGGTGGCAGTGATTCAAGATGGCAGCATCCATGTTATTCCTACAGTGGCCCTTCCCTCAAGTCATTTGGCTATAAAGGGGCATGTTGGGGATGCACAACAGTAGCGTGGTTCATGCTTTGAGCCACCATGCCATGACTTTTCTGGAAGCAAGACTGGCTAAGATGTTGCTTTAGTTATTGAGCCAAGCTGGGCATTTGCAGGCTAATTTGGAGCACGAGAGAAGGTAAGAACTGTTGGCATCAGAAGTTATGGACCAGATATCAGTCCAGAGAAAGGAAGGAACAAAAAACAAATTACTCCATTGTCTTATCTGAGCCCAGGTAGGTATAGACATATCAAAGGAGATGGAGACCACTTGGGAGGGAACATATTTGAATAGGGAGCCCAGAATTCCAGTTTTGAATATATAAACTGAGGATCTGTTGATTATAAGAACATGTGTAATAGGTATCCTTAAAACCCAGAGAGTAGTCATGACATCCTTGGCAGTGGAGATTTTTATATATATATATGTTTGGATGTGACTTTATAAGTTAATTTATAATGACCAGCTGGCTCCCACTGCTTGTGACCTCAGTGTGGGGCATATCACATCATAGCTGAGTACTGCTTCTCTGGCTCTACACATCTTAATACCCCAAGAGGCACCTTTGCTTTCTACCAGTGGCTTCTGTGCAACATCCTAGGACAGGCTCTATTTTTATTAGCTTCCTTAGACATTCTCACATTCATGCAGATCTAAAAATTACTGTGCTGGAATTGAGGTTCTTTGATATAAGTGTGCTTAGCCTACCCTGTCATCACCAAAAATTAAAATGCAAAGGCAGCACAGAATGAGAAAATAAAGCCTATGCAGATGCAAAATCTTGTTGCAACTACTCATTTTGCTACCTAAACAACTGCTTCTGTTGTTGTTATTTATGTAGTTTGTTGCTGATAAGATTTAATGATCAACCACTAATCCTTGCTGAGGCTCTCTGTTTCATTCACAAATGCAACAAGCATTGTTCACACATATTAATATAAAATATGAGACATTAATTCTGTGAATTATAGATATTCTGAATTTTCTAAATTTCATCTCTGAAAATCTTAAGAATTTCAAGGCATGTGTATATGTATGTAGAGACCAAGTAATATGAACAATAATTTAGTGACCAAATATTGTTGCATAAATTTTATTTTCAAAGAAAACTATGGTGTTTTCACATTGTATTACAAATGGACAAACATTAAGTATAGATTATTGTTTTACAATGCCTTCTGCATAATGTTTTTATGGAAATTTCTCATTACCTAATTCTTATATTTTTAAAAAATTCAGAAATTAGTATGTTTTTGCATGTGATGAGAAAAAAGTTTCTAAGCCATTAATTAGATTTGAGGTGAAACATCAGGTGGATCATGGAACACAAAGAAAAACAAAACAAACAAAACAAAAAAACAGGACCATGAACAAGAGTTAGAAATGTTTCAGCAAAGATTTCCAAATAATACTAAATATCAAGACTTTTATTAAACTTAAAGCCAAAAGGAAAGCAGCGTGCTATTGATAAATGAGCACAGAGGCCAACCCAAAGACCAATAAATATCTCCAGAAACTGTGCAACAAAGTACTTAATTTAAAGTTTTTAAAATGCAGAATTTTCCCATGGAAAATGCAAAGAAGGAGAAAAGCTACAGCTAAATTGTCCTTAATATTCAGTATTGTGGATGAGTCACATGAGGTGCCCTTTGACAATCTATTTTTTTGTATTTTATTTTATTATTTTTTATTATTGTTCAAAACATTACAATGCTCTTGATATATCATATTTCATCCATTTGATTCAAGTGGGTTATGAACTCCCATTTTTACCACGTGTACAGATTGTGGAATCACATGGGTTACACATCTATGTTTATACATACTGCCATACTAGTGTCTGTTGTATTTTGCTGCCTTTCCTATCCCTTACTATCCACCCTCCCCTCCCTTCCCCTCCCCTCCCCTCCTCTTGTCTTTTTTTCCCCCTTTCCCATCACCTCCTCTTATATGTAATTTTGTATACCAATGCAGGTCTCCTTCCATTTCCATGCAGTTCCCCTTCTCTCTCCCTTTCCCTCCCATCTCTCGTCCCTGCTTAATGGAAATCTTTTTCTCATGCTCTTCCTCCCTGATCTGTTTTGAGTTGCCCTCCTTATATCAAAGAAGACATTCGGCATTAGTGTTTAAGGGATAGGCTAGCTTCACTTAGCATAATCTGCTCTAATGACATCCATTTCCGTGCAAATGCCACGATTTTTCTATTTTTTAGTGCTGAGTAATATTCCATTGTGTATAAATGCCACATTTTTTTTATCCATTCATCCATTGAAGGGCATCTAGGTTGGCTGAGGAATCTGCAGTCATACCAACAGGAATTTGCAGTAATAGTCAAGAACTCATGGATTGGTTGTCCATTGCCTTGAAACTGTTGGAATATTGTTTTTCTGATAGTAAATTTCTATGTCAGTATTAGGAAAAATTTAGACACTTTCCTGATAGTATGATTCAAAGAAAGGGACACAATTTCATGCAATCCTAAGGAAAACTAACTTCATACATGTAGTGCCAGGAGAAACCATAGTCTGGTCATTCTGCTATCTCCAATTTTAAACCACAATCATATATACTTGATGTGCATCATTTAGTGATATGATTAAAATTGTATACATATATCATGGTAGTGTTGTAAAGAAATATCTATAGTAATGTCAACGTTGAGGTACCATTGTTGTTAAGAAGTATCCTGGGAACGATTCATAGAGATGACTGAAATCCTGAGCTATGTACCTTCCCAGCTGTGCACATCATGCGTGGCACAACATAGTCCAGGAGATCATGAGACAAGCTCTCTAACATCAGGGAGATAATCTGAGAAACAAACACCCCTCAAACAAGGGTCTACGGAGTGATGTTTCCAGCTTGGTCCAGTTCCCTACTGTACTAGGCACGAATGTCCTTTATGCACTGGAGAAATCAAGCTGCCCCCCAGAGTGGGCATTCTGTGTGGAAGGATGTGTAAATAACAGGTTATTTAACAGATTTCTGAAATAGGTTCCATTTGAAGAATTCACATATGGTACAAGGAAGGAAAGGACAGGGAAGAGATGAGAAAAACAGATCACACATGAAAAAGAAATTTTCAAAAAAAAATTTTTGTTAGAGCTGATAGTAAAGACTGGGGGATACTCATGGTTAAGACTCCCTTTAATATCTGGGGCAGGAAGGAGTCATGTTAGATATGGTGCCATCCTGCTGTCACTATAGTCACTTCATGACTTCTCTTTGGCATATCTGAATTGTAAACTTCACTCTTCATTCACTTAAGAGTCATTATTAAGTAAAGAAAGAATTATTTGAATACAAGCACGGTGACACCATGACAGTTGATCTGATATTCAAGATGGCTACTAAATGACTAGTGTAGACACTCTGGACAGAGGGAAGAATCATGTCTCAAGCAGGATGGAATAGGATGGCATGGGATTTCATCATATTACTAAGAATGAAGCACAACTTAAAGCATA